AAGAGTCTTGTGGAGTCTGAGGACACAGAGAAAGAAAGTGGAAGGGAAAAGATAGCCTTGCATTTAGAGGTGATTACTAGAAAAACTGAAACTGTAGAGTCAATTGAATTCTCACCAAGTGAAAGAAAACCAGAGATTCCAAAGGTTTCTCCTGATCTTGCAATCAAGGACCAGATTCCAACTCAAACAGAACATGACAATGATATTCTGTCAGTCTCATCTACAGAGCAAGTTACTGCTGTAGTTTTGGAAGACGTATCTCCCATACAAACTGGAGGAAAGTCAGATGATGTTGAACTTTCCATTGCTTCTGATTCAGTCCCACCTATTGATAGACATCCAGATAGAGAAAATATGGATCAGAACCTTTCCCTGGAAAAACCTGAACTTCCTACATCAAAGAAGACGTCAGAGAGTCTATTGGAGTACAACGAAATGGAGAAAGAAATTGAAAAGGGAAAAGCACATTTAAGTTTGCAGACAGTCACTGTAACAACTGACAGTATTTCTATAGAATCAACTAAGTTTTCACCATGTGAAAGAAAGTCAGACAGTCCAAAAGTTTCTCTTCAGTCTGATAACAAGGCACCAGAATGCACAGCACCTCAATCTGATGCAAGAGATTCAGACACAGCGCCACAAATGCAGCCATGTCTTTCTTCTAGTTTTACAGATACAACAAATATTGCAGATTGTATTAACAAATTATGGAGTAACACAGAAGAGGTTCCGAAGAGGTATTTAGTTCTTGAGCTGCCTGACCGAACAGTCCCACAATTGTTTGAGACAAACCAATATCAGCCAGACACAAGAATTTCTGATAAGGAATCTACTACTTTTGCCATTGTTTCAATGGAGCAGCCTCATGAGACAGAGACAGATGTAACAGAAACTATGAGTCAGCAAACAGTCTCAGATAACTTACAAATACAACCTGAAGTCAACATCCAACATGACGATGGGCAAAATATTTTAGGCATCAAGGTTCAAAAGTCTCTTGAAGATGAAGCATTCAAAGCTGAAGAAATGAGTATAAAGACAAGAATACACACATCTGAAAATATTACTGTCTCAGTGCAAAATGACCCCCAGATGCACATGGAGCACTTGACTGTACAGTGTGAGACCACACCACAAAGCAACGTTGAGACAACTAGTGTAGAACTGCAAGTAAGCAGTGCTGAAGGGAATGATATTAAGGCTGACCAAGGCTCTAGTCAGCCTATTGCAACTGTTTTCACCTCAGAAAAACATGTGCCCATGAGCCCAGATGACAAGTCTGTTACAGGGGATAAAATCCAAGTGGAGACTAAAGTGCTTAGTTTGGACTATGAAATACCAACCAGCCATAAAACCGCAGTTGTGGTTCACCCAGAGGAAGCTACAGTCAGAGTACAGATGCAACAAATCAGCATTGAAATGCAAGATAATGTGGAGATGTCTGCCTCTTCTCGACCTGCACTTCTGCAGGCAAGTGAACAAGAGAGAGTATCTGCAGAAATAAGCTTATCTGAGCAAGACACTATAAAATCAGAAATGGTGATTGAGCTAGAGCTCTTGAAAACCACACAGGATAGCAAAGGGGAGCTGAAGGACTACAACTTAAAAGAGGAGGTCTCTAGAAAAGATGTACTTGATTTACCCAAAAGCTTGGATGAAAAGGAAATATTGGGGGACTCTCAAGTGCGAGTTTTACAGCTTGATATACCTACGAGTCATGAAGAACAGGAAAAGACATTTGTCATGACAGCAGCAGTACCAATGGCAGATACAGCTCAATCAAGTATGCAGTGGGAACAAAAAGAGACTGCAATTCAGGTTAACCCTGAGGAGGCTACACTCATAGTCAAGATGCAACGAATCAGCACAGAAACGCCAAAGGATGTGGCTCAGAGTGACTCTACTCAAACTGTTCTGCTGCAGCCAGTTGAAACAGAGACAATATCTGCAGAAATAAGCTTATTTAAGGAAGACACTGTAAAACCACAAACGGCAATTGAGTTAGAGATCCTGGGAACCACACAGAAACCAGAGGAGCTGAAGGATTACGACTTAAAAGAGGTCTCCAAAACAGATGTACCTGATGTATCCCACACTTTGGATGAAAAACTGGTTACAGGAGAGAAAAACCTTGTTGAGCCTCAAGTGCGAGTTTTACAAATAGATATACCAACCAGTAATGAAGAACAGAAACAGACGTTTGTCATGACAGCAGCCGAACCAAAGATAGATACAGCTCAATCAAGTTTGCAGTGTGAAGGAGTTCATGTACCCTCTGAGGAGGCTGAAGTTATAGTCAAAGTGCAACCAATCACCTTGGACGCACAAAAGTATCTGGATCAAAGTAATTCCTCTCAAAATGCACTCTTGCAAAGTGAAGCAGGGGCAATGTCTGCAGAAATAAACATATCCAAACAAGATACTGTAAAACCAGAAAAACTGACTGAGCAGGAGCTCCTGAAAAACACACAGGACAGACCTATGATAACTAAGGAAACTGGGGTCCAAAAAGAGCGCTCAGAACTGTCAATACATAGAGGGAATGATATACCCATGAGCCTGGATGAAAAAGCAGAAAAAGTCCAAGTGGAGCCTGATGTTGTTTTACCAGCCAGCCATGAGGAGCATGAAAGATCATTTGTCTCGAAAGCAGATGTGCCAAGAACAGATATAAGTATCCAGTCTGAACATTCTCAAGTAAACAAAGATTTGACTTCAGCTGATGTTCAACCTGAACAAGAAATTAGCTTTACAATAAAGGTGCAGCAAATGAAGACTAAAATGCCAGTGGATCTCGTGGCTCAGTGTTTATCTACTCAAGCTGCACTTTTTCAGCCAGGTGAAGCAAAGAAAACACAATCTGCAGAAATAAGCTTACCTGAACAAGACACTGCAGAACCACAAACAATGATTGCACTAGAGACCTTGAAAACTGCTAGATCAGTGGAGGTGAAGGATTACAACATGAAACAGGATGTCCCCACAAAAGATGTGCTTGATTCACTCAAAAACTTGGATGAAAAATCAGTTGCAATAAAGCAAATTCAAGTGGAGCCTCAAGTGAAAGTTTTACAGCTGGATATACCAATCAGTCAAAAAGAACAGGAAAAGATATTTGTGAAGACATCAGCAGAACCAAAACCAGATACAGCTCATTTAAGTATCCAGCGTGAAAGGGAGCTGGGAAATAAAGATGATGCTTCAGCTGAGGTTACACAGGAGACTGAATATATAATCAAAGTGCAACAAATCACCACTGATAGACAAGGGGATGTGACTCAGAGCGACTCAGGTCCACCAGCTGAAGTAGAGATAGCTTCTGCAGAAATAAACTTATCAATGCAAGAAACTGTAAAACTAGAACCAGTGACTGAGCAAGAGCTCTTGAAAACCACAAAGCATAGATCTACTGTGACTAAGGGACTTGTGATCCAAGGTGAGCAGCCCAAACCAAATGAACTGGATGACATACCCATGAGCCTGGATGACAAGACGATTACAAAAGAGAAAGTCCAGGGGGAGCCTGAGGTCCTTGTTTCACCAACCAGCCAGGAGGAGGATAAAAGAACATTTGTTGTGGTAACAGATGTACCCAGAGCAGATGTAGCTCATTCAAGTATCCAGTCTGAAATCATTGCAGTAAACAAAGATTTGACTGCCGTTGAAGTTCAACCTGAGGAAGCTGCTAGACCAGAAGATGTGGCGCAGAGCGATTCCACTCAACCTTCTCTGCTGCAGACACGTGAACCAGAGACAGTCTCTGCTGAAATTTGCTTATCTGAAAAACATGCTGTAAAACCAGAACTGGTGACTGAGCAAGAGCTCTTGAAGACCACAGACAGCAGAACAGACATGTCTCAAATAAATATCGAATGTGATTCAGAACTTGAAAAGAAAGATGTGAGTCCAGCTGATGCTCACCCTGGGGAGGCAACAGTTGGAATGGAGGTGCAACAAATCAGCACTGAAACACAAGAAGATGTAGCTCTGGTGGACTCAACTCAACCTGCAGTGCTGCCGCCAAGAAAAATAGCATCTGCAGAAATTAGCTTACCTGAGGGAGAAGCTGTACAATCAGAAACAGTAACTGAGCAAGAACTCATGAAAACTACACAGTTCTCCACAAATGTTGTGCTTGATTCACCAAAAAGTGTGGACAAACTATCAGTCATAGCAGAGAAAATCCAGGCAGAACCTCAAGTGTGTATTTTACAACTCAATATGTCAACCAGCGACAAGGAGCATGAAAGAACGTTAGTCATGACAGCAGCAGCATCAAGAACAGATACGGGTCAAGCGATATTTCACGGTGAAATAGAAAAAGAACAGAAAGACAAAACAGCTGAGGTTCATCCTGAGGAGGCAGCAGTTAGAATGGAGGAGCAACAAATCATTACTGAAAGACAAGAGGATGTTCAGTTTGACTCTGTTCAACCTGGACTGCTGGAAAACGAAGCAGTAAGTTCTACAAAAATAATTGTATCTGAGCCACACAGTGTAAAATCAGAAATAGTGTCTAAGCAAGAAATCTTGAAAACCACAGAAGATAGACCTATGGTGACTAAGGACCTTGTGGTCCAAGCAGAGCCCTCTGAAGCTTCAGTCACAGTGAAGGAGAAACAAATTAGCGCTGAAAGACCAAAAATTGCAGCTCAGAGTGACTTCACTCTAATTGCACTGAGGCAATCAAGTGAAGCAGAGACAACATCTGCACAAATACGCTTACCTGAGCAAGACATTGTAAAACAAGAAACACTGATTGAGTTAAAGATCTTGGAAATCGCACAGGTCAGACCTACAGGGATTAAGGAACTTGGTGTCAAAGAAGGCACCTCTAAATTGTTAATGCATGGCATGGATGATGTACCCACGAGCCTAAGTGACAAGTCTGTTACAGTAGAGGAAGTAGTGGAAACCCAGATTGATTCTGAGGTGCTTGTTTTACAAGTAGAAGTACCAACCAGTCGTCATGAGCATAAACAGACATCTTTCATGATAGGAAAAAGTGACTCCGCTCAGCCTGCTCTGCTGGAGCCAGAGGTCAGTGGAGAGCTTTTGAAAACCACAGAAGATAGACCTATTGTGACTAAGGACCTTGTGGTCCAAGCAGAGCCCTCTGAAGCTTCAGTCACAGTGAAGGAGAAACAAATTAGCACTGAAAGACCAAAAATTGCAGCTCAGAGTGACTCCACTCAAACTACACTGGAGCAATCAAGTGAAGCAGAGACAACATCTGCACAAATACGCTTACCTGAGCAAGACATTGTAAAACAAGAAACACTGATTGAGCTAAAGATCTTGGAAATCGCACACCCTAAAGTATTAACACATGGAGTGGAAGACGTACCCACAAGCCTGGATGTCAAATTTGTTAAAATGAAGAAAATTCAGATGGACCCTGAGGTGCTTGTAATACCAGAAGTTCGAGAAGAGCATGTGTCAAGAACAGATACATCTCGATCAAGTATCCAGTGTGAAAGTTCAAAAGAACACAGAGATACGAGTGCAGCTGAGGTTCTTCCTGAAGAGGCTGGAGTTAAAACCAGAGTAGTAGAAGTCCAACAATTTAGGACTGAAATGAAGGAAGGTATAGCTCAGACTGACGCAGCTCAATCTGTACTGATACATGCAGGTGAAACAGAGTCAACATGTGTAGAAATAAGTTTATCTGAACGAGACACTGTAAAACCAGAAACTCTTAATAAGTTGAAGTTCTTGAATGCCACAGAGGAGAGACCAAAGGACGTCAATCTGCGAGAGGAGTTTGTAACTAAAGATGTACTTGATGCACCTAAAGGCCAGCATGAAGTGTCTGTTACAGTGGAAAAACTCAGCATGGGGTCTAGCGTACCCACTCTACAGCCAAATATACCGGCCACCATAACCACATCTGTTGTGATAGCAACAAGTGCAAGGACTGACAGTGATCAAACAACTACGAAGTCTGAAAAAATAACACAAACCCAAGAGCTTAGGTCTCTTGAAGCAGAGAAAGAAAAGCCTGCATCTGAGATGAATAAAGCAGATGCTCCAAAAAGCTTTACCAAACTCCTGTCAGAACCAGTTGTGTATCCTAAAGTCCAAACAGATGCAACAAATAGGAAAGAAGAAGAAGAGAAGCAGAAGAAGAAAATTCAAGAAAAGGAAAAAGAAAGAAGCACCAGTGTAGAACTGCCATTCAGCATAAGCACAACAACCACCATCACTACCATGGAGGCCACTGGAACAAGGCTTAAGAAACTGCCACAGGTATGTTATGATGACCTATTTTTCTATGATAAAGTGCAATTATGTTAACCCTGCATCATATATAGACTAATGCATAGCCTACATGTAAAACATGAACTTGTCTACCAAAGCCAGTCCAGAAAAGCCTTCAATCTTGCAAAGGGAACTTCTTGATTGCTAAAAGAAGTTGCATTATGCAGAGGTCTTTCAAAAAACAAATGTAATTTCTCAATTGGTGTATGATTTCACTTCTTCAGCGTTAATGGCCTCACCTGTTAGTCAAGTCTTATTTAATACAACTTAATGTTTTTGTAAAATTTGGTCACAAAGAGCAGCGGTCCGCAACCTTTTTTGCGCCATGGACCGGTTTATGTCCGACAATATTTTCATGGACCGGCCTTTACGTTGTCGCGAATTAATCCAACAAAATAAAACTGGTACCAAAAAAAAGAAGTAGATTTATTCATAACACACTGGAAAAGACCTAGGGAAGCCAACGATAAAAACCAATAAAAACCCTGAAAACCATAAATTTCACACCCGAGCCTCAACTATCATGGCCCGGTACCAAGCGACTCCAGTCCGTGACCCGGGGATTGGGGACCGCTGACATAGAGTATATATGTGCATTAATACCTAGTTTCATGTCCACTATAGGAACAAGTATTCAGTACTGACACATCACTGCAGGTGGTTCAGATATCATCAGGTGATACTGTACTGGGTGAAGAACCCCATTTGAAAGGACTGACCCCTCAAGAAAACAAAATAGACGCAAATGACATGGAAACTGAGAAAACAGAACTGGAGTCACCAGGAGAACCATCCATTTTGACAGTGATACAGCTACTCAAAGACATGGGACCCAGCAGTCAACTCATTGAGGTAAAATAAATATTATCTGTCATTGGCTCTGTGTTTGTTTTTGAACCAAGAAAGTCACAGAAGTTCCAAATGGTCACTTTCAATATGTAGGATTAAAATACAGAATAATCTTTCAAATAAAGCGGTGATGAACATGTACTATCATAATTACTGGCTGAAATGTAGATCATAATTCTTAGTTATTTTGACTCTTTTTTTAATCCTCTTTCACATCAGTTCAGTTCAATCCAGTTTTAGATATATGAAGTAAACTCAAGAAAAACCTCAAAGCAGAGTTTGCAAAGGTTGTTTGTGAGAGCTTTGAGGCAATTTATATGGTCAAGACATATCTTACTCTGTAGAGAGGATCATAACAATTCCTCCCTCAAACTGTTTTTTTCTGATATATATTTTCATATAGGCCCTAAATTAAACAACAAAACCAAAGCTTGTGCCTTAACAAATCCTGTTCTGCATCTGACATGTCTTTCTGTCTGAAGGGTAAACCACTTGAGGATGCTCCAGAGGTTCTGATTTCATCTACCAGTAGCATGGACAGTCATCTAAGTAGGGTTATATCTAAACTCCTGAACTGCAAGAACCGCTCAGCTGAGCTGAGCCCAACAGCCATGGCCCAGCAGGTGGAGGAGGCTCAGGTGAGATTATGCAGCATGAATCACTAGAAAAACATCCATGGTGCTAAAGTGCCTCCTTATTATTATTATTATTATTATTATTATTATTATTATTATT